CTGCTATGTACGCAGAAGTTTTCTACTGTTTTGGGGCACCTGAAATTGTAATTTTTAAGCATCAACGTAGAGCTTGGTGCATTAACACTTGTTTAGTGTTCTGAATTAGTCTCTCTTATAAATGCTACAGTGAAAGACAGAAACCCTCTTTAAAGAACTAACTTCAGGATGACCCACAACCTAACTTCAGGATGACCCACAACAGGTCAATTGTTCTTTGCTTACTAGCCCATTCTCTGTACCTCTTTGCCAACCACCAAACAACATTGCATTTTCATTAGTAAAAAGAGGGGAGCTTATAAGAACCTTCCCCATTTTGCAACGCATGAGACTCACATGCAGGAAGCACGTGTACGAGGAACACTTAACCCAGTTGGGAAGACAGGTCTTAGGTGGTTGAATCCACAAGGGACGTCAGCTCAAGCTCAATTAGGGCCAGGGCTTTTTCAGCCCTTGCCCCAGCCTGGTAGAACAGGCTCCCACTCGAGATCAGGGCCCTGCTGGACTTATCACAGTTCTGCAGAGCCTGTAAAGCAGAGCTGTTCTGCCAGGCTTTTGGCTGAGGACGTTCAACTATTCTGGCCTCCCCTGTTCATGGCCCCTTCCCAATGCCCTGCTGCTCTAGACAATACTATTTGGGTACTGGAGCATCCTGGGGTACCTACGGTATATCCACCTGACATATACAATATCGTTTTATCTACTGTTTTATTGCTTTTATTGTTTTGTGGATTTTATGTTGTAAGCTGCCCTGAGCCCACTTGTGGGTGGAGTAAAAATTAAATCAATCAATAAATAAATAATAAAAAAGCAAAGTTTGCGGAAGGAATCTTTGCCACCTCCTTAGTCATTCTGCAGCCTCCTAAGAGGCTGAGGGTTGGAGGATCTGCAAACAGTAGGATGCAGTGCAGAGCAGTACAACAGGCAGAGGGGAAAAATCACACCATTCCAAAGGGTCCTCTACCCTCAGGAATGACTTTCTGAGCAGCACAAAGGAAGCCAAACATTCTTTTGTGAACTGTACTTTTCCAATTATAGTCGGGATGTAGCCCAAGAGCAGTATTACAAAAGGTGGTAAAGGAACAGAACAAAAGCAAACAACCAAGTGCAAATCCATCAACAGTGCATGGTACAGCAGCACTTCTGGATGATAAGCAGTCAGAGAAAGTATCTCAATGGGGCAGGGCATGGCTCATGTACATACTCAACAGGGAAGAGCTTGACATGAATATCTCCCATGCTCGTGTGGACAATGGCACTATCAGAAACTCTTTTGGGCCCTTCGGCTTGAGTGGCTGCCATAACCTCTTCTTTGGACGGTTTCTCATTAAATACATCTCTGTCAGAATCTGCACTCTTCGTGTCTTCTGGTTCACGTTTAGTAAACTGAAAGAAAAGGCAGTAGCATCTTTGTTTCTCACACTTATTAAGTTGGAATCACAGAGATGGAAGGTATCCCTGGGATCATACACTATAACCTCCAAACCAGCCTGATGCTTTGCTGAATTGCTTCACTTTCTACCTAGTCTTCTTTCAGGTTACGAATTGCCTCTTGTCTTATTCTAAGAGAAAAAGATTTTAAAGTATCAAAAGACTATCAGTGTATCTCCTTCCCCCACCAACTAAATTCAACTTTTCTCTGAGCACCACATGATTATTACTTCTTGACTGAGAATGTGTCATCTTGATTTCATCATGTTTAAGGCTTTTTTCTGCCTTTTAAGAAGAATGTAACATTCTACAATTGAACAAAATTATTCTACATGTGCTCTAACAAGGGCTGAGCAGTGATGTCATTTCTCTGACCTTGGAACCCCATTTTTGTTGTTTCAGTCCCAAGTCTTGAAACAATGCCTCCCAATGACAATAACAGGGCCCATCTGTGAAACAGATCTTTGGACCCTTGTAGCAACTTCCTGAAAAGGTCAGGAGAGCATGCTGTGGTAGCAAAAAAGAGAACTTCAATGCTAAGAATTATTAGGAAGAACACAGAGATTCAAACAGAATACTGTGATGTCATTATAGAAAACTATGGGCAACCTACAAGCAAAAAACCTCAACCCTACTCACTCCATCTCAATAAGCTGGGATGGGGAACTAAATGAGGAAGCCACTAAATTCATAAGAAACATTGTCTAGAGGGGTCCAAGGTCTAGAAATTATTCTAATGCAGAAGTGATTATACAGGGCTTCTATTATGAGGATGCTTCTTGGACACTTACATTCACAAAAGCAAAATGGCATGTACAAAAACCGATGTCAGAACTGGGACCAAGTTCTATGATACAAGAATTGTCTAAGTACGAAAGGTCAAAACAAGCATAGAAAAGTTATACAGGAAAAATAATTAAGACATTAAGTATAACCCCTACCATATAAAATCTGTTCTTTTTGAAGGATGTGCATACTATGGTTGGATCTGCTTGGATATTCTGGAGAACAGGATTTTCGGATGCCTTCATTTCTACAGTAATTGCTGCACGGTGCTTCTTTGCTACACCCTGGAACAAAGCCAACTGCATAACCCTGATATTTTCCTGTTTACCTAGGATTCTCACACATCTACAACAGAGGAAATAAAAATTCAAAGTCATAATTCCTAAATTCTGAAGTCATCATCTATTCCACTACCCGTGAAACCCTAACAAGACTACTCTGCAGTATTTCAAAAAATTCTATGTCCATTCCAATTACTTATAGTATCATATACCTGGAGCCCTGCAATAAAGTTTGTCAAGACAATAAACACTCCTGACTGCCCCAATTAGTCTGGAAAGTCTTCTGCGTATATAAAAGACAATAAATGAACCATTAGACTAGATTCATTCTGTGTTAGCAATGAGACTCCTTTAATAACATAGTCAGCATGCTGTAGTAGTTAGAGTTGAACCAGGGCCCAAGCTGAAATCCCCATTCTGCTATGGAGGCGTCCTGGGTGACAGTGGGCCAGTCATACACTAGGTGGTTCTTAATAAAAGACAAAGAGAGGATTCTTTTGACTAGTATTGTAAATTATTTCAACAGGTCATAAAAATGGCACTCACTCTACCAGCAGATCAGCTGCCACTAGGTCAAGTCAAATAGCAAACATAAATCAGGTACAATGCTCCCTCTAAACTGTGGAGTCTTGGGAGCAAAAAATCTACTTTGTGAGCTACTGGCATTAATGTTGTGAGCGAGCGATTTGGCTACTGCATAAATTAGTTTGCTCTGGAGCCATCCTTCCTGAGCTAAGACAAAGATGCATGAGCTGGAGGCTAAAAAACTAAGCTCGCTCACACTAACTCAGCTTAGAGGGAACACTGGTCAGGTGATGCAATCCCGAATTTATATAACATCACATACAAAACTGAAGTACAGCACCTGAATATTTATGTGAATTTTTAAAATGTTTACACTGCCTTTTCATACAGGACCTTCAATGTGGCCTACAAAGTCCTTGAAAACCATGTAACAGATTATCAGTGCAACAAAAAAATCTCATGGCAATATAAAATAGTTGTAGACATCGCAAAATAGTGAGAGTACGTAAGACTTACCTGTTTGTTTCTACATTTATGACTTTAATTCCAAGCATTGTCCCATAGAGCACAAAGTGTCCCGTTTCATCAAAAATGATGTTAATTAACCTTACAGCGTCAACCTTTTCTAGCTCCCGCTCCACAGCCATTCTCCGTCCAAATTCCATGTCTGGTAGCTGTTGTCTCATCTGCTGCAGTTCAGTAAACATCTACAGAAACAAGGTATGAGTGTAACTTGACCTGGATTTAGCCCAACAAGAGCAGCACCCAAACCCTCAACTATATTATGGGATAATAATTTCTACTGGTTTTGGTGCAGTCCAATTCCAGGGATTTCAGTTTAAGTTACACCTTTGGGTGACAAGAGTGAAAAACTTGGGAAACTCCGTTTTATTATTTTATAATTAACTTAGATTCTTAGTTGATTGTGTCATTTTCTGTCTCTGATTTTAATGTTGTATATGCCATTAAAGGTTTATTGATTGATCTTTGGGTGACTGTTAAAAGGGATATTTGCAGTGGGACTCCACATCTGCTTAGATGCTCAAAAAGCTCTTGAATTTGGAGGTTTCTATGCACAAGCAGAATCATATGTACACATGTAATATCTATACTAAACTTTTTCTCAAATGAAATGACAATCTAGGGATAAGTTACACCAGGGGTGTCAAACATACAGCCTGTGGGCCGGATCCAGCCTGCGCAGGGCTGCAATCCAGCCCAAGAGCAGCTAATTCTGTGCTGCTTCCTGCTTTTAACATCGTAGCTCCTTCTAGCCAGTCTCTCTTAGTTCTGGCTTCAGAGGAGAGAAAGAAAGCCTTCCCTCAATTGACTGAGGGCTCCTTCCCCCCCCTCCTTCGACGATGAAGGGGGAGGGATAGAGCCAGGGGGGGGGGATGGTGTCTTGTGGGACTTTTAAAAAGACTAGCAACATTTTATTCCAGGTTTAAGCATACTTTTTATTCAGAGAAAGGGATAGAGGGAGCACACCAGAAAAAGAGAGAGAGTGTGTCCTGTGTTTAAGACCAAAAAAACTTTTTATTCCAGGTATTGGGGGAGGGGGGGGTCCTGTGTTTAAGATAAAAAAACATTTTATTTCAGGTATATGAGAGAGGGAGGGAGAGTCCATCCCAGGGCACTTAGAGAGATCCCCCTTTCCATTTCTAACAGATAAGGAGGGGGAGAAACCTAACAGCACAGTTTGCATTCCTTGTTAGTGATGAAAGGGAGCAAGAGTACAGCAGCACCTTAATGACCAACACAATTTGTGGCAGGGCATGAGCTTTCATGAAACACTGCGGACTTCTTCAGATACAGCTGGAATGTGAGTCCCAATGTCCTTATATCTTGGAGAGTGAAGTGATTTCAGGTGCCAAAAGACAACAGCAGGCATTGGTAATTTACTTATTTGTTAGACTTTTACCCTGCCCTCCCGCCAAAGCGGCTGAGCTTCATGATCAGTTGCAACTCAGCAGTTTCTCTTTCTAATCTCCCTTTGAAATTCCTTTGTAAGAGAACTGCCCGGGAAAGTTAAAATGTTCCCCCACTAGTTTTTGAATATTGTGGTTTCTAATAGTAGTAGAAACTGTAAGAATCCAGTAGCACCTTTAAAGACTAACAAACCTGTGGTAGCGTATGTGCTTTTGTGAGTCTGCTCAGTTCTTCAGACTTATTTCCATTTATTCTTTGCATCCTCCTGGACTGAATCCTCCTGTACCAAATTGAGACCTAGGTTTCCTATCTCATTACCAATGCTGATATCTCCATGCCTCTGTATATCACACCAATGCTGATATCTCCTCTCTGCATATCACACCTAATCCAATCACTCCTGCTATTGCCATTCGGCATCTGAAATCATCTTGATAAAGTTTATATCTCTGGTACCTTGTGTTACATTTTATGGCACACATGGCCCGGCCCGACAAAGTGACATTTATGTAACAAATGAGTTCGACACCTCTGAGTTACACAATCAAAATATAAACAGCTAATGAAAGCTGTTACCAGCCTACACACTGTATGGTAGTATTATACCAATCTGAAAGTGAACCATATCATTTAAAATAATGAGCACAGACAGTTAATCAGTTAACATTCATACAGTAGTCTTCCAAAAGCATGGTTTTTAAAAAATTCTTTTTGAATTTAACACTAGCCATTTTTATCAGAATATTTATTAAACTAGTGGGTCAGTCGTTTTTGAAGAGCATAAATAAAAAAGTCAGCTTCTTTGAATTAAACGGCTGGCACTCTAACATGGAATATATTCTCTTTCGACACACACACATTAATGACTGACTAATTTAAGTAATAATCTGCACCTGTAAGTAATTAATGTGGAAATAAGTATTAAAAACTTACACTCAAGGATTCATCGAAGACCCTCATAAGTTTTCCTGTCAAGAATCTGAATATTCTGACTTTTCTGTCAGAACCAATGGTAGCCATCTTTTTACCATCAGGTGAGAAACATACACTGGTAGGGTACGCTTTACACTTAGCAAATTCATATAAGTCTGTGTCTGTTTTATACTCCCAGTTCACATTTTTGGGAAATTTGTATTCATGGGAAGGTCCAGTCCAGTATTCAATCATTCCAGATTTGTCAGAAGATACAATTACTTTATAGACAGAGTTCAATCGTATCTGAGTAAGAGAGGATGTGTGGAGTTTATCAAAAACATGAAGAGGCTGATTATTTCCTCGTCCATCATATATGAATATTTTTCCAGTAGTTTTCTCAGAGGCTGCAACAGAAGATATGGCATCTCCCGGGCAGTAAACCCATTCACACTGACCTGGGTAATAGCTGGGGGGGAAACAGAATAATCAATTTACAAAAAAATTCAATTCAATAATAAAAAGCTGGGTGAAGAATGGCAGAACTATCTCAAGGCATCAAATCAGGCTGTGCATATGCCTTCAAGTTGCTTCTGACTTCTAGGTAAAGGTTCCCTTGCTCGAAAGCCAGTCGAATCCGACTCTAGGGTTGCGGTGCTCATCTCCGTTTCAAAGCCGAAGAGCCAGCGCTGTCCAAAGACGTTTCCGTGGTCATGTGGCCTGCATGACTAAACACCAAGGCGCACAGACCGCTGTTACCTTCCCACCAAAGTGGTACCTATTTATCTACTTGCAATTTCTTGCTTTCGAACTGCTAGGTTGGCAGGAGCTGGAACTAGAGATGGGAACTCACTCCGTCATGCGGCACACTCGGGTCTTGAACTGCTGAACTAATGACCTTCCACAGCCTGCAGTTCAGCGTCTTAACCACTTGAGCCACCACAGCTCTGACTTATGGCAACCCTATTAATTAATGACTTCCAAGACGTCCTATTGTTGACAGCCTTGCCCAAGTATTGCAGACTGAAGGCCATGACCTTCAGGTTAATGACTACCAAACAGATGACCTTAGGACAGTCACACACACTCAGCCTAACTTACCTCACAGGGTTGCTGTGAGGATAAAATGGGGAAGGTCTCCATTGGCAAAGGTTTAAATGAAGTAGATAAACACATAAAATAGCCACAAAAAAACGTTGTGTATGCATATCAGGCTCACCTCAGTTAGTCTCCATTGGCAAAGGTTTAAATGAAGTGGATAAACACATAAAATAGCTGCAAAAACCCTGTTGTGTATGCATATCAGGCTCACCTCAGCGTGGACATATAGAGCAAGGCAAGAGCAGTCAATCTTAATACACCCCAATAATTTGATATAAAATTCATTGTAATAATTTGACTAATCAAGTTTTCTCTAGTGACCTCATCCACAAATGTACCCCAAAGCCCTTGACAATCCTACAAGGAGCCTGTCAGAAAGTAAAATGACTCACCCAAGTTTTAGCATATTGATCATGTCAAAGTTCACCACATCAAAAACTTTCATTGCTTTGTCATCCCCAACAGAGCAGAATAACGCTCCTTCTGAGCTAACCGCAATGCTCTCAATAACACCTATTGGAAAGAAAGCCACAGCAAGAAGAGCAAAGGAAATTATTTCCAAAGAAAAAATTAGATTTGCTTCACAAAAACCATCCAGCAAAACTGTAGCTGCATATAAATCATTAGGAGGGGGCCACTTTACAGTCTAAGGTGTTACGCCTGAAGATGCTGCTGCTTAAGGCTAAGAGCCAAAGATCATAAAGTCTGTGCGTGGAGGGCTTCTGAAGTGCTCTGATTTCACTGTAGCTCCTTGCATGGCATTACTCACAACTCTGGAGTGTTTTTCGACGGGGTGAAGGAAGAAGATAGGCCTCTGAAGCCTGGCTGCATATCATAGAAATGGCTCACACATCCCTCCTTTTACAGCCTGTCCTTGAACTGACATACCAGTCATGTTTCCTGTCTTAAGCAATGTGAGTGACAAACCTAACAAAACAATCCCCTGATGATTCTAAGCTTCTTTTCTTGCTCGATAACACAGACACAGAAATAACTGAAATAACAGCAAAGTTTCTCTGCAGTGCCATGGCCTGATAAATGTTATGATGAATTAGGTTTTTCTTTATGATGATACTCTGTGATGTTACTCGGCAATTTTAATTTGACTCTGTGTGTACTTAGATTACTGTTTTTTTATTTATATGCCAATAAAAGGCTTTGGATTGACTAAGGGTATAGTTAGGATCCCAACGCTGCACTAGTTCTTTCATTGTGTTATGAAAAAAGTTTAATGACAAAATTACAGATTTTACCAGTTAAAATTTTACATAACAAAAGCTGAATCTCTCAATATCTAATGGCATACAACAAACACAATTATAGTAAAGAATGTTTTATTAAGCCTATGGTACAGTAGCTTATGGTACAGTAGTACATATGTACTGAAAAGACACAGAAGTGGAAAGATATGTTCTACAAACAAGATGCAACAACACACAGAATAACGTACCTAAATGGCTACGGAAGTGTTTAACAAATTCAATCCCTTCTTCTACTTTCTTCCAGAATTTGACATGTCCATCATGGCTGGCTGTTATTATAAAATCTGTCCTGCAGATACAAACACGTAAAAAAGGGGGGGGCTTGGATTAGAGAGGATGCTTTTGTGCACCCAAACTGCTGTGTTTACCTATACTTCTGCAAATGGAAATTCAGGTGACTCTGATTACTGGTTCTTAGGGGTGGCTAAGCAAGCTTCTACACAAGGATACAAGACATGGGGAGGGCAGAAGCAGTAGCCATTAGGAGGATAATCAACAGCTCAGTTGCTACTTAGAGTAAGTGTCTACTTCTAGGGTCAGCACCTTCTCAGAGTATCAGAGGAACACAACAGGAGCATGACTGCTGAATTACAGCATCATTCTGTGAATGGCTCCTTTTAAAAGAACTGAGATGAAAGGCAAGTAACAATGTTCATTACATATGTATTCCTAGATTAATTTCATAGGTTTGACTGCCTTACAATATTCTGCAAATATGAAATATTTTTAAAGAAATGCTTTTTAATATATATTTGGGTTGTTTTTTTAATTATTTATGGATTTGGCTGTCAACTGGGTTGGGATTATTTGGGGGCTTAAAAGGCAGAGTGTAGATTTTAAAGATAAACCTCAGTTATTTATCAAACCTTTTAAAACGTCTGTAAATGCAGAAAAAATGGCCAATAAGTTTTCAAAATGACCCATGGCATCAGCTACTTTTAAATTGTTTAGGTTTTCTTTTATTTTAGGTACTTCTTAAAACTGAAATGATTATGTAGAAAAACGTTTCACATGCTCTTAGCAATATTGGCCATTGAGGTCCACAGCAGAGTTTAACATTCCTTTCATTCAGAGCTTGGGTGCGTAAAGGTCTTTGGGTCCTCCTCATTCCTCATGAGTAGGCATGCTACCCAAAATGTCAGAAACATGGCTTATTGACACGGCTGATATTTTCCAGACAGGTAGCAAGGTTAGTCCAGCGCAGCAAAATAAAATAGGAGTTCACTGGCACCTTGAAGAATAACAAAACTATCCCAATATGAACTTCCATTAGTCAGAGCTCACCTCCAGCACATACACCAAGTGTACCGTTTCACGCTGGATGAAGTAAGGTCTGACTCAGAGCTCAAGATGCAATAAATTTTATCAGCCATTGACATGCTGCTGGATTCCTATTTTATTTTATGCAATGTAGGCATAGATATAATCATGCCTAAGACAGAACCCTCCCATCTAGTAATCTTTTAACATCTGTGTTTTCTCCAAAGATTTCCCTTGGGGGCACAGCTGTCCTAGGCAGCCAACCACATATAAGGTCGCCACGATCTATATCCCCCATTGTGGAGTTTTATCCTTGACATTATGCTACATTGCAGAACCACTGGGATTGTCTCTAAAGTATAATGCAACAAGAAGATGACCCCTTGTGCCCACCCTAGGGGCAAGCTCCAGAAGAGATTGGAGTTTGTCCACATTGCGCTTTGCTTCTGAGGAAGGTCAGTATACAGTTCAAAAGTGAATGTGATTAAGAACTTACAGAACGCAAAGGTGGCTAAGCAAAACACTAATAAAAAACTCAGGAGAACAGGGAGAGGGAGGGGCGGAAGCAGAGATAGAGCACAACAAGCGCTAGTGCAGACTCCCCCCCCCCCAAGCTTAGAGCTGCAGAGCACAGCAAAGAATCATCCCCATAGCTGTACTGTGATTCAGAAACATTCCAAACAGTCCTAAAGCCTAGAGAACAAGCAAGGCATCATCCCTACAGCTGCAACACATTTCTGTGACATTCTCTAAGCAGAAACACTTCCTGAAACACATGCCTCAGGTAGTATTTCAATGCAAATAAAATAAAATACTTACTTAGTGCATACTACATGTGTGATGACATCTCTGTGCATGTAACTACGCTCATACATTGAAGCACTGGGAAGGTTATCCAGGTAGACATGCTCAAATTCAAGAACTATGAATAAAAAATGATAAACATTTTGAAAGTTACCCTTTTCAATTTAAAATAGACTAAACTTGACAAGTTTCTCTTTCAGCAGTAAGAGTCAATATAAACAACATTCATACATCTCATATCCTAATGTTAGATTATTTGATCTTAGAAGAAGAAAAAGGAGATTGGATTTATACCCTGCCCTTCACTACCCAAAGGTGTCTCAGAGTGGGTTACAAACTCCTTTCCCTTCCCCTCCCCACAACAGACACCCTGTGAAGTGGGTGGGGCTGAGAGAGCTCTGACAGAAACTGCCCTTTTTCAAGAACAGCTCTTATCAGAACTATGGCTTGCCCAAGGTCATCCAGCAGCTGCAAGTGGAGGTGTGGGGAATCAAACCCGGTTCTCCCAGATCAGAGTCTGCACACTTAACCACTACACCAAACTGGCTTACCTTAAACAAAAAAGGAAATGTATGTTAGATTATTTACTCTCTTTCATGACAATCTTATTTATTTGGAAGTAAAACCCATATTTCAATGTATCCAACTCCATATTATTATAGGTTTATATCACAGAATCATAGAGCTGGAAGGGGCCATTTAGACCATCTAGTCCAATCCCCTGCTCAGTGCAAATCAGCCCAAAGCATCCCTGACAAATATTTGTCTAGACACTGTTTGAAGACTGTCAGTGAGGGGGAGCTCACCACCTCCCTAGGCATTCAATTCCACTGCTGAACTACCCTTACTGCAAAAAACAAAACAAAAAAAACCCACCCTAATATCTAGTTGGTATCTTTCCAAGCATAATTCAGACCCATTATTACAAGTCCTATACTCTGCTGCCAACAGGGACAGCTTCTTGCCTGCCTCTAAATGACAGTCTTTCAGAAACTTAAAGAGAGCAATCATGTTCCCGCTCAACCGCCTCTTCTCCAGACTGACCACTCCCAAGTCCCTCACAGTCTTTCCTCATAGGGCTTGGTTCCAGGCTCCTGATCATCTTCATCCTCCTCCTCTACCTTTGCTCCATTCTGTCCACATCCTTTTTGAAGTGAGGCTTCCAGAACCGCACACAGTACTCAAGGTGCGGCCTGACCAATGTGGAAATCAGCAGGACTATGACATCTTGTGATTTAGATGTTATGCCTCTGTTCATACACTCTTGCACTAGCATTTTTTTACCAATGCATCACAATGACTGCTCATAGTTAGGTTATAATCCACCCATACCCCAAAATTTTGTTCACACACGTTGCTACCCAGAAGTGTGTCCCCCATCCAGTATGTGTGCATCTCATTTTTGTTACCCAGATGTAGAATTCTGCAGCTCAGCAAGAAAAAACTCAGCAATAATTAAAACACACTTTCTTATAAAGATTTTTAGGGATCATTACTAGAATAGTAATGGTGTTTGTTATATAAATATCAGCATATTGAAATCTATTTTGCTATCTGTACAATCATCTCAGTTGGCTTACAGAACTAGTACCTAGTACCTCGCGAAGAGTCAGACTCGACTGTGCGACTGAACAACAAACAAAACCTAGTTCTCTCTGACAGAGCAAAGCCTATACCTTTACTGTAGCACTTCAGATTGCAACTGAGTGATTGCTTCCCTACATCAAAGAATTCCCTGTACATTGAAATGAATTTGACATTTATTTATTTATTTATTGGAGGAACATTCAATCATGTGAACTTTGAAATCATATTTTAAGCTTAGGAGCTCTCAAGCCTCAAAAAATATTAAGCAATGTATTTGTATAATGCATGCAAGAGTATACAAGGCACTACAGTCTAAAAGAAATAAAACTGTATCCAATGCCCTGGAAACACAGCAGTTAAGGTCCAGACTAAACTAGAATACGAATGGCTTTCAAGATATGTTAATTCTACAATCTGGATTTGGCAGATCAAGGGCTCTATGGTTAATGAAATGTCAGTGCTATTGCTCTTATCAACAAAAAGAATGATCTGCATTTTATACATAGCTTGCACCCTATCTTAATCATGTTTCCTCAGACTAATGTCAACAGGACTTACTTCCTGGTATGTGTGCAGACAATAGTAACCTTAACTCGAATCAAACACTGCAGCAGTTTATACACAATGATTGCGCACACTTCCTACATCCTCAGAGAAGCATGTCACCCACTACACCATACTTGTTACTGGACATTTAAGTCTGTAATGCTATGTACCCTTACCGAGAAGTAAGTCCCACTGAACTCTGTGAGACTTACTTGCAAGGAAACATGCACATAACAGGGCTACATCCTGTAAATGCTCGCTTGCGAACAAGCCCCACTGAACTCAGTAAGGGCTTATTTCCACGTAAACATAAACAGGAACATTCCACAAAGGGATGTGTAATGATTTCTTGTTTTGGTGTGTTTCTTTAAATGTTTAGTTTGACTGCAGTAATGTAAGGAGAGTGATAGAGGGAGACAGATGGGATGTAATTGGCTGATGACTGAGAGTGTGGGAGGAGAGGTGTCTATGAGGAGATTCTGTGTGTGGAGTTTGGAGAGAGAGCATAGTCTGTGTGACTATGAGAGTTTAAGTCTATTCCGTTTGCATAAGACAAACAGTTTAGCCTGTGTGGCTATATATGTATGAGAGAGAGAAAGATTATGTATGAGAGAGAATGCCTAAGCCTGTCAGAATGGAGTTTGGGAGTTTGAGAGACTGTTTGTGACACCAAGCTTTGCCAGTAATATTTACAAGTTCCTTTCTTCAGCAACAGTTCAAAATAACCAGAAACCTATTTTGTTCTTTATTAAATAAATCAATTTTTGTTTGAACTTATCCCAGGAATTAGAATAGTCCTTCCTCAGGACCACATAGTCCTCTGAAGTGCCCAGACCCTGGGTCATTCTACCAAGAGAGCTATTTGGAATTTTTAATTCCTGGCGGCAGCAGAAATCTACCAGAGTGTGGTTTAAAAGTAAAACAGTCTCCCCAATAAGCAAGGACCTCACAGGATGTCCCTCACAGTCCTCCACCCTTACCCTTTCGCTTTTTCACTTGCACAGCCTCCCCAGGCAGAGGGCCCACCCAGCGATCTTGCTCATCTTCCTTCTCTTCTTCCTCCTCATGATCGTCGCTTTCTTTTGCTGCCTCGCCTTCGACATGCCTCCTCTTCCGCTGGGATTCCACGGACGCCATCTTGGTTTTACGTCATCTCCCTGCGACGACAACGACCCCCCCCCCCGTGGCTGTTCTTAGCCTCAGCCGCGGCCGCGCAGACAGTGACGAGTCATTCTTCCTTATTCCTTTGGCAACAGCCAATGAGAACTCAGCCCGCGCAGGTTTGGAAAGGGGGGAAGCGGCGACGGAGGTTAAAAGAAGGCAAGCGGTAGGTTGTCCTAGTAAAATCGGGCTGCCTAGGCCGGCGATGTAACGGGGTTGCCTCCGACAGTCGCCCGGGGGGGGAGGGAGGGGTCTACTTAATTTATTGTCAGTTGTATGGTTATCTTTGAAATCACTCAAGGCGGTTTCAAAATTTAAAATGAAAACCCTAGAAAAGTAAAACAGCGCTCGGGATAAATCGCCACGAGACAGTCTCCACAGTACAGTCTGTAGACGGTGAGCCTATAATAAGACATCTGTGAGACCATAGATAAGAGAGCATAAAAACCGGCATAGTAAAAGATGCCCGGCTACGAAATTCAGCCAAGGTTGTCATCAGCCCTAAAGACAGGAGAAAGGAGCTCCCCAGGGCGAAGCGTCACTCGGGCAGGTCCGTCGGGCTAGGGGAGCAAGGGGGATTTCCAGCATCTTTAACCCCAACCAGTAGCGTGAGCCCAGTCTAAATTTTGTCACTCTTTTCTCGTTTTCTCAGGGTATCACGCACGGCAGACACGCTGCGATAATGGTCATTCCTTCTCCCTAAATAGCCTTGCAAACTGAAGAGGGGGAGCAGAAATGTCTTATCAGAATTCTTAGCATTGCTGCATTTGGGGGTTGGTAGCTAAACTAGTTCAGACTCTCAAATTTCTTTTTTTTAAAAGCAACTATTACAGTATCGCCACAATGACCCACTTTAGGTCAGGCTGGCACCCATTTGTTTGTCCCCCCCCCCCCCCGAGAAAAAAAGCCGCTGTTTGTTTCGCCCCCCCCCCCCCCCCGAACTGTGCAGCGTGCTAATGGGAAGAGGAGGCTGGAACACACTGCTTGTGAGCTTGTTTTTCTAGATGCCTCAACAGTGATCCTCAACAGGGATCACTCTGCTTGTGAGCTTGTTTTTCTAGATGCCTCAACAGGGGTATTCGCATTTACTTATGGTCATGATTATTACCATGATTGATTTGATTTTTTTTTTAAGTCTGATTTAAACAACTAATTATTACTTTAAATTTAAATCAAAATTTTCTGTGTAGTATTTAGATGTTTTCTAAATAACTGCTATAACCGTGAAACACTGATTCAAAACCCTTATGCAGCTTCAGAAGGGACACTGTACATTATTGAAAACACTTAATATTTTTAATATTTTAGAAAATGATGTAATAAATACTCATAGCCTCAAGAAGGGTTTATCAGCAGCTACAACAGGCTTTTGTAGATAGATGTTGGTTGGAATTAAGATTAGAACATGCTTCCCACACACACACCAGACTTCCTTTCTGTCTTAGCCTGCTCCTCTTTTTTAACTGTTTTATAACCCTGTCAAAAATAATCTCAACCAAGAGCAAGGGCTGTTGATAATTACCGGTCAGGTCATTGCTATGTCTATGACATGGTAAATAAATATGCATTTTCTTTGGTATATAGAGTCAGAAATATTTATAACTGAGCCACTTGCAGAGATCAGGCAGTTCTTAGGCATAAAACAGGAGTAAATGGTGGTGACATAGTAGGATCAGTGGATGACATCAGGGGCTGACTTTCCAATCCTTCCCCCAAGTAGCAAGCCATAATATAACTCCATAAACTGCTGTGCTGTATGATTAAGTTGTTTTCGTAAATTGTTCAGTGCGTTATGCGTTTAACTTTAAGAAATTTCGTTTTAAATGCAGGTTTTATTATAGTCAAACTTTAGCTTAAACTTTTATTTTAAAAAAACCCAATTTTTTCTTTACATTTTATTGCTGCTGGGACTTTGGTTAGCAACTGGTTTTACTGCACAATAGTATGTCGAGACAATTCTCACCCCCCTCAGTGTGCTACTGGAAACTTTCTTGTACTCCACTGATACACGGTGCCTCTCGCTTGGGTTTATAATGATGGGGCCTAGGTGGAGCCTGGCAAGGGGCTGGGTATGGCTCACAGACTACCAGTTGCTGATCCTATGATAACGTACAAGGTGCCCTACTGTGGTCCTGTCCATACGAGGCCTTTTGGGCCGGGAGCGGGACAGAACGGGGGCGGAGCAAACGGGCACGATCCCACGGCAACATCTGGGAATCGTTGCCTGCCCGTCCCTGTTCCGTCCCAAACGGCGATACCGCGCTGTAAAAAAGAACCACCTACCTAGGTGGTTGTATCCCTTCCAGCGCCGCAAGCCGGGCCGTGGGATCGGGTGGCGCGTCCTTGCGCCGCCGGCCCCTGGCCGTACTGCGCATGCTCGAGCATGCGCCGTTCGGCAGCCTCCCCCTCCCATCGGACTTTCCTCCCCGGCATCTGATTGTGCCGGGGAGCGATGCGCCGCGGCTGAGGGGATCCATGGGATCCCGCCGCGGCGTCTCAAGTTCGGTGCGGCTCTGCTTAGCTGCGTTTCAGCCGTCCCGTGTGGCAGCAGCCTGAGTTTCTTATAATTGCATTTATAAGAGATAGTGTTTTGATAGGTTTGATCTGTCAGATTAAGCTGTAGAAGTGGAAAAAAACTCCCTTGCACATGACAGCACACATGCTCTCTCTGATATTGGATTTGGTTGCTTTAGATATTTCATTTTTCCTGATACAAATTCCATGACCCTAACAGTTGTTTGTCAGGCAGAAATTCTCCATTTGAAAAGAGGCATCTTTGAATTTCTGTCTGTCATTCAGCTCTTAAAAGTACGGATAGTTTCAATGAGTAGCTGTGTTGGTCTGCAGCAGAACAGCTAGATTCGAGTCCAGTAGCACTTTAAAAGTACAGAGTGCATGACAGGTGATGTTCTGTATTCTTGGTGCTTGGGGGGGGGTCAACAGTGGGAGGGCTTCTAGTGTCCTGGCCCCACTGCTGGACCTCCTGATGGCACCTGGTATTTTTGGCCACTGTGTGACAGAGTGTTGGACTGGGTGGGCCTTTGGCCTGATCCAACATTGGCTTCTCTTATGTTCTTCTTTCACGTTCTAGTCATTTGATGATCAAAGACTTAGGTGAAATCCAGTGAAATTGTTTAAATCTTGTAAATGTATTCAGTGGATTCAGAGTTTCCACACTTTATGTATTCTGGGATATTAAACCCATTACCAATAGGAAATTTCATCATACTCTTAAATTCACCATATTCTGTTAAATTCTGGATCAGACTGATGCTTTGTATAGATTATTTTCAGGAAGGGGATCAGCTGTACCTGCAGTTCCCAGCCTTTTTGTTATGGTGACTCCAATCCAAATTTACTTAAATAACCGCTTAAAGAAAAAAACCAGAGAATGCACAAATCAGTGAAACTGCAAAAGCCTGGGGCCTCCTTTCACAGGCTTCGCAACCCACTTTTGGTTCAGGACCCACACATTGGGAAATGCTGTGCTATACTACTGTTTTGTTTTCAAGCTCCCTGAAGTCGGCTTTAAGTGTGACGCTGGCAGCCAAGATCGTATGCATACGGCACTGCAGGCACCCAGCATCTGATTTACAGTTTTTCTTCAGTTGTGGCATGTGCAGTGTTAGCATGCCAAAGTTCTGTAGCTCAAGTGGGCAACATTGCGTGCATGCTGGGATTACATGGCCCATGTTAAATGAGACGTCAGCTTGCATAACACTGTATGGAAAGGTTCTTGCCTGTCAGCATCCCATTTAAATGAGGTCTGAGTTTAGTGCCCATCTGTGTCATCCAGCCATATAACAGAACTGCGTGGTTCCAATTTGCCATGGTCTTCAAAACTGTTAAATCTAAAAATAAATGTAGGAATAAATGGGCCGTTTCATAGCATTACTTGTCTGTATAATGAGATTTTTATTAAAGGATAAGCACAAAAAATTAGTTCACAGTTAATTTATCTGGAAATAATGAATTTCAGTTTTAAATTAGATCGCAAGTTCTATTTGTAGACGTTTAATACTAGTTAAAATAGTGTAGCAGTTTGAAACATGAACATTCCTGAAACTGGTAATAGAGGTTAAGCTTCATTTTTTAAAATTAATCTCTGTTGATTTGTAACTAGTGATGGGCAGACTCTCCAAGCTCAGTTCATGATCTGGACAGCAATTATTAGCCTGTAGGGAGTTCACCCATCACCAGTTATAAATCAACAGAGATTAATAGAAAATTGAGCTTAATCTCTATTACTAATTTTAGGAAATTGGAGAACATTTGGGAGAGAGAGCATTTTTTCTCTTTAGAGATTTAAAATCTGCCCACAATTGCTGAGCCCCTCTCCATAAATCCCCAAGCCCCTTCCCTGTGACAGTAGCTGCTCAGGCAACAGGAGAGATTTTGGTCTCTAGCTTTCTCTGCTGCCTCCTCTTCTCCCTGTTCTTGGAATGAATAATACTATGGCACCATCCCAGGGCCCAGAGACTCTGGAGCAGCCACATGGGCAAGGGTTCGTGATGCATGGGACACTGCCATTCTTGCTTTCCGAAAGATGCGTGGAGGGGAAGCCTTGCTGTTGTACCAGTAGGTAGCCAAATGGGTGGAGAGGAATTCCTCTATAGCAAGGATTAAAATCCAAGTTGCAGAAGGATTCATTGGGTTGTAACGCTCATCTCATATTGAAGTTTGAAGTTTGTGCCCTGAATCAAGCAGTTATGAATTTGCTGAGTGACAATTTACAACCCGTTGAGTAATTGTTTCTTTAATTTGATAAGCAATTTGCTTGTGTTAGTCATCAAACATGCAATCCTAAACAGAGTTACACATTTCTGAGTCCATTGAAGTCAGTGGGCTTCAAAGTGTATAACTGTAAGATTGCACTAAATTATAAGCCCAGAAAATAGGAGTAAAAGAGGATTTTAAAACTGAAGGGTTGCATCCAAAGAACTATGAGAGGAGCTCTCCTCACAGGATAGATCTTT